GCCTCAGCCTCCCAGAGTGCTAGGATTACAGGCGTGAGCCACCGCGCCCGGCCTCAAAAAGATATTTGTATGTATCATAGTAGAATTATTCATAAGAGCCAGAAGATGGAAACAGTCCAAGTATCCATCAACAGATGAGTAAACAAAATATGGCATATGCATACAATATTGTATGTGTATATACACAGTGATTCAGACAGTTCTAATACATGCTACAACACGAATCAACCTTGAAAATTTTATTCTAAGTAATTAAGTTAGAAAAGGATAAATACTGTATGATTCTACTTCTGTGTTATCTAAAATAAGCAAATTCATAGAGACAGAAAGCAGATTAAAGTTTATTAGGGACTTATGGGTAAGGAGGAATGGGAAGCTATTGTTAATGTTTACAGAGCTTCTATTTAGGATGATGAAAAAGTTTTGGAAATGGATGGTGGTGATGGTTGCACGACATGGTGAACATAATTAATACCACTGAATTGTACACTTAAAATTAATGGCAATTTTTAATGTATTTCACCACAATAAAAAGTAAAATTAAAAAACCCACAGTAGTCTTTATTTTCATTATCCAACCTTGTGCTTTCAATCTGTTCTTTATTTCCAAAATTTTTAACTAGTTCTTAGAACAAGGCACTTGTAAGGAGAGAAATTCTTTTCTTTTAGGTGTACTTTCAGTGTATTTTATTTTCATCATGTGTGGCCGATGAGCATCTAACTAGTCATCTTGTTCGGTCTTACAGTAAATATATTAATAATCTAATGACTTCTAAATTTTTATATTTTCCATTTCAAACAATGAATAGTTTAACCAATTAAATAGTAATTGCTTTTGACAACAGCTGTTAATCAGGTAGACATGATTTTATGTTGTCATAAAAGTAAAATACTATGTGTTTACGTGGTAGTGCCAGATTGGAGAATCTTGAGAACCTGCCTTTCCTTTAGACTGAGAGTTGAGACAAAATTAGACTGTAAATTGGACCAAACGTTCCTTGGATTCTGCATCCTGCTTAATGTCAGCCCAGATGGACACAGAGACCCTGAAGAGTCTCCATGTTTAATTTGCCCTTTTGTTTCAATAGACAACCAGTGGAGACTGGAGAAAATAATCAAGCTGTGCCTTTCTTGCATAAAATGTTTAGTTTGCTACCTCATCATGTGCCAGTTACTAAATAACTTCCAGAAATTATTATTTTAGAATACTTAACAGTGAAGGTTGTTGGAAAGGCAATTGTTAGCATTGTGGAAATGAGAAGTAAGCACTGTTCTTTTCATTGTCTAAATTTACAACCTGTGCCTAGGTTTCTCCTTTTTCTCATTCAGCCATTTAGCTAACTATCAAATCTGTAGTTCAAAAACTAATCCTTTTCTCCTCAAGGATCTTTTTTTTCCTGGACTGTCATAATATCTTCTGCCCTGATTGCTTTGCGTCCACTCTTGGCTTTGTTATAATCCATTCTCCACGCTGCAGCCAGAGCATTCTTTCTAGAGTTGCATTGTCCCATGTGGTAGCCATTAACCATATGCGTCTATTTAAATTTAAATTAATTAAAAATCAGTCCTCAGTCACACTAGGCACATTTCTAATACTCAGTAGCCACTTGTGGCTAGTGGCTACCAAATTGAGCAGCACAAGTATGGAACATTTCTAACATCTCAGGAAATTGTTAGATAGCATTGTTCTAGGACATAAATCACCTCATTTACTGTTGCAACCAAAACTCCTTTCCATGGCTAGGAAGGATCTATATAAAATCTTGTTTATCTCTCCCTTTTCATTTCTCTTTACAATAATCCTTTATTCACTATACTCCAGATGCCTTCTTTCTGTTCTTCCACTGTGCCAGATATCCCCCCACCCCACCCCAGGGCCTTTGCTACTTGCTGTTCCTTCTGTCTGGAACGTGTTTCGCCCCACATCTTCATGTGGCTGTGTCGTCATCATTTAGGTATCATCTCAGATGCTACCTCCTCAAGAGAGTTCTTCCCTTTGTACCCTAATCACCTCCTTTAAGAAGCTCTTGATCATACTACCCGATTTTTATCATCTTCACAGCCTTTATCCTTAACTGAAAGTCTTAACTTATTTGTGTGTTTGCGTACCCTACCTAACACCCTTCTTCCCCCTAGAATGTAAGCTGCTTTTTTTTTTTTTTTTTTTTCCGAGACGGAGTCTCACTATGTTTCCTGGGCTAGAGTGCCGTGGTGTCAGCCTGGCTCACAGCAACCTCCCATTCCTAGGCTCAAGCGATCCTTCTGCCTCAGCCTCCCGAGTTGTTGGGACTAGACTACAGGCATGCACTACTATGCCCATTCAGTTTTTTCTATTTTTAGAAGAGACGGGGTCTCGCTCTTGCTCAGGCTGGTCTCAAACTCCTGAGCTCAAGTGATCCTCCTGCCTTGGCCTCCCAGAGTGCTAGGATTAGAGCCACGGCGCCTGACCACGAATGTAAGCCACTTAATGGTCATGGATTCTTTCTCTCTCGTTCACCATTACATTACACCCTTGCATCTAGAAAACTAACTGGCACATAGTAGGTGCTCAGTCACTACTTAACTGTGAGAGTCTCTCAAAAAATTACCATTTGAACTACCTTATTTTTGATCTTTTCTGAGATCTCAGTTCTGTTTTCCTATGTATGGCCTGTTTTCCGTTTTGCCAGAGGTTATTACAAACTACTACTTAGTCATCAGATTAGCAATTTGACAGTGAACTGATCTTGTCTCTTTATCAATACACTTATTAGCATGAAAAGTTGTCTGTATACTAAAACATGTACTTTTTCCATTTTTCTATTTCTGCTTAAAAATATAAATCCAATAAACTTACCATTCTAGAGTAACCTGATAAATTACTTCATTTCAGCTTTAAGTTAGAATTTAATGTTAGGAAAGATACTCCAGAATTTTAGATTAACCTTACTATACTATTTTCCTTGATGGTTGTATTCTTTTCTAAAAGGAGATAACTATATGGTAAGTGTTGGGAGGATACATATTGACATTGGATAGTGTTCATCACCTTATTGGTTAGTCCTGGTTCTTTTGAAGTTATTCTGTTTTCCCTGACTGTACAAAAAAATGATAGGTTAGAAGAGTGTTTGAATTTTTCTCACTTTGGGTTAATCTGTTAATATTTTTGGTATAGATAGAATAAATAAATTTTAAGTATCTATTGATTTTATAGTCCTGAAGAATGCTTTCCAACCTCACCATACTTCTTGGTTTTCTTTTTCGTTTTTCTTTTCTTTTTTTTTTTTGGATACCGCGTCTTGCTCTGTTGCCCAAGCTGGAGTGCAGTGGCACAATCGTAGCTCTCTGTAGCCTTGAACTCCTGGGCTCAAGTGACCCTCCTGCCTCAGCCACTCGAGTAGCTGGGACTATAGGCATGCACCACCGTGCCTGGCTAATTTTTTTTTATGTTTTATAGAGGCAGAATCTCACTGTGTTGCCCAGGCTTGTCTAAAACTCCTGGCCTCAAGTGATCCTCCTGCATTGGCCTCCCAAAGTACTGGCATTACAGGCTTGAGCCACCACCTCACCTGATGATGGTTTTCTCTTAAGCAGCTTTTTTTTACTTTTGTTCCCTCTCAGGCTGAGCATTTTGAGAAAATTGTATTGGCTTGATACCTGGACATAATGTTCTAGCCAGCATTATAATAGATACATAAATATTTGTCCAGTCCTAGTACTGTTCTCCTGTCTTGTATAGTCTGTATAGATGTATAGTCTGTTGCTATCTAGACATCAGTATGATCTAAAGCATAGTTGTACATATACTTTGTGTAAAGAACTCTGTATTTTCCACCATAGAAAATAAAGATTATATGCCCTGGGATGTAGCTCAGTGGTGGAGCGCATACATTGCATGTATGAGGTCGTGGGTTCAATCCCCAGCATCTCGGCCGGGCGCTGTGGCTCATGCCTGTAATCCTAGCTCTCTGGGAGGCCGAGGCGGGTGGATTGTTTGAGCTCAGGAGTT